AATTCGTTAGAACTAACCCTCCTTCAGACCTCATTCTCACGCATCATGCTCTGTTCGTCGAGGAAATCGTGCATTCTATCATCAGTAGTGACGATTCTATTTGGATTCGCCGTAATCTTGACTACACAGCTGTTTCACACACGCCTTCCATGCCATGATTCCAGAGTTCGAAGCCCGGATGGGACGGTAGATCATCACTGTTGATGAGCTCCAATGTGAGTGAAACTTCGATTGGGAGCTTTGCGAGAGTAACTTTGATTGGATCAACCGAGAATTGCGCGAGAACTGGAATCTTCTCTCATCTACTTGGTGGAAGTAGTCCTTAAACTAAGTCTTCTAAGTTTGCTGTCTTTCTGTCCATCATTTTGCCATGAAACGCTCGGCGACAATCGACAAATAAGTCAAATCTGCATGCGTCACGTCTAGATCATTCGAGAATGTTTATTCCGGGATTCCCATAAGGTTGCACAGTTGATCACTTTCCCCAATAATACAGAGAGATTCGTGCATAAGCCGTCTGATAGGCAGCTATTTTCTATAGAAATGGACGCCTTATCACTGGGATGGAAGTTTTGTTGCCCCCCGAAGACAATTAACCGAATCTATTTGGAGGTACAATTCGAAAGCCTGCTGGGTCAAACGAAGGATTTGATACTTAATTCAGACGAGGATTTGGAAAGATTTAAAAGTTTACTGGTGACAAACTGCTATAAGTACCGAAAGGTTCACATACACAACCGCGGACCGCTTACACGTCATTATATAAATTCTTTGAGGGAACTCAGAAAGAACAAAGACATCACACTGCTCAAACCAGATAAAGGCACCGGGGTGGTTATTATGAACAAAAATGATTATGTTCGAAAGCTTTCTGACATAATTTCGGATGATAAGAAGTTCTCTAGATGCAACAAAGAAAAAGATGAGACAGCAAAGGTGGGGGGCACAACCACAGATCTACTGAAGGCGCTTAAGTTACAGGAGCACATAGACAATGCTGCATTCGACAGACTGAAACCATGTGGGTCCGTCATCCCGCGATTGTATAGTCTCCCTAAGATCCGTAAAGAAGGAGTTCCAATACGACCACTTATGGCAATGGTGAATTCACCACACAATGGTCCAGTGTTTGGTCGAATCACTAGAACCCATCAGTCGGAAACTCTCCACAGACAGTCTCGGAGAGAGTTTGCAGCTTTTAGCTAAAATAAAAGACCTGGATCCGCAAGAAAAGACGATGTTTTACTTGGATGTCGTCTCACTGTTCACTAATGTACCCTGCTGGAGACAGTGGAATTCATCTGTGATCAAATAAAAACACTGAATGTAGACGTTGGTATTCCGGTCACAAATCTAAAGGAACTGTTATTACGTTGAACACGTATTTCTATTTGATGATACTATCTATCGTCCGATGGATGGGGTTGCCATGGGATTGTCACTTGGTCCGTTGCTAGCTGACATCTTCGTGGCTAAACTAGAAAGGAGCACGCTGAACCGAAGTATTAAAGGATTAGCACATTACAGTAGATATATAGATCATATCTTCTGTGTGACCGATTGCAAAAATGGCATCCCACAAAACATTGAAATCGTTTACCGAAGCACATCCATCACTGGAATTCACTACAGAGGTTGAAACGAACAACAAATGGACCTTTCTGGATGTGGCCGTGTCCAGGAAAGAAGATGGATCAGTAGGAAGACACATCTACAAAAAGAAAACCTGAAACGGCCAATATACGAACTTCCATAGTTTCGTTCCTGTGAAATATAAACGCAATCTAGTTCGATGTCTAGCCTTCAAAGCCCGGAAGGTTTGTTCAGCAGATACACCAGATGAAGAAATACGCTTCATCCGCCAAACGCTGTAGGACAATGGTTATCCGGAAAAGTTCATCAATAAGAACATTAGGCTCATTCCGGAGAAGGCAAATTCCATCTGTCCCCAAGAAAGAACTATTTATAAGAATCCCATTTAAGGGGGATTCCCACACGGAGAGCCCAGTCCAATCACTGAGAGCGGCTGTGAATTACACTTTCCCCGCAGCCAAACTTAGGCCATTGTTCTCTACATCACCGGTGATGCGAATGCAGGTGAAAGACAGACTGCCGAAACTGACCTCATCCATGGTAATTTACTCTTTTAAGTACGTCTGTGGCGCATGTTAAATAGGTCGTACGGTAAGGCGTTTGTCTCAGCGCGTTAAAGAGCACCACGCGCGATGGTTAAGTCAGGGGAAGACTGGCTGTATCTCAAGCGCGGTCGTGGGGCATCTCGTCGACACCGGGCACAAGATCGAACCGGAGAAGGCTTTCGATGTTGTTTATCGTATCTCACTCAATCGATCGAAGGCGGCCCGAGTTTGGACACTGACCATGGCCGAGGCGATCGCCATTCGCTTATTAGACCCCAACCTGTGTACTCAAGATCGACTGGTGCAGGCGCTCCAATTGCCTTGGCCGGGTGTGAAAACCAAGACAGAACAGGACGTGTCACTTGACCCAAGTGGGGAAAGGTCACATCAACTAATACGCTAAACATTCCTACACACACATACACGCACACACACATACACCTCCATTACTCCCTGCCTCCGATTATTGACCTTAAATTGAGCCAATGGCTATCATTATGTAAGAATTTTTCCACTATATGATATGTAAGAGCATTACTAGGAATATCCGAAAACAATTGTTCGCTCACCGATTCGTTTTCTCAATGCTATTATGAGAATATTCAAGCTTTTGAAATATTGGAGTGTGCATATTTGAGAATCTTTGAATCGTGTATTTTAGATTTTCGTTATACAGCAGATTGTTGTTTGGAACGCTAAATTCACAATTACTCTCTCCTCTATATGGAAC